CATTATATATTATGACTATTTGAAGTCAAGTCAACATTGTATACAAATTCTTTAAAAATTTGTTATAGATAGAATTACAGTCTCTGTATAGAGCAACTCATTTTTCAGTAATTAAGAATACTGGAACATCATTATGTAAGTGTAATGAACAGAATCTATTGCCTAGTAGAACATAGTCTGTTAAATGTAACTTTAGTGTATTTTTTCTGAAATAAAAAATCTTATTGGATTTTTATCTATAAAGGAGATAATTTGTGACCTAACATTGAACATTTTAAAAAAGCAAACAAACAAAATAAAAGAACTGTGATTCAACAGCAATGCTAGTCATAAAGGTAAGATAGGGGAAAAAGCATTTTGATTTCTTTACAGATGCTTTCTAATGAATGGATTATCAGATTGCAAACACATTTTAAGTGATTCTGGCTCTTTTTCCTTCCTCTCCACACTTCAGCCTTCCCAAAGCTGATGAGACCACTCACCTACAAAGAATTTAAACTGCTCCAGATTCCAGAACTTGAGAATAGCCTTGAACACAGGAAAACCCATTTAACCATTAAAGCTTATGGATCCTCCACGGTGTTCAAGATAAAGGGACAAAAATCCTCATCTTTGGTCTATAGGTATTCAACTTAGTCATACCACAAATACTCTTTATGGAGCCATAATGACTACTTTCCCCAAATCCTTAATAATCGTAATTTTTCTGATTATAAAATAGGATATATTCTCATACATTGCTACTATGACTGCAAAATGTTACAGCCACTTTGGAAAACAATTTAGCAGTTTCTTAGAAAGTTAAACATATAATTTTCAATTTAACTCAACAGTCCTACTCCTCGATATTTACTTGGGATAAATGAAAAACATGTGCCCACACAAAGACCTGTACATGATTGTTTATAGCAACTTTATTTATGATAGCCAGTAGGTGGATGGATGAATACATTGAAGTAAATTCATACAGCGAAATATAATATGCAGCAATAAATAGGGACTCCTGATATAGAACACAACATGGATGAATCTCAGAAGCTTTATACTAAGTGAAAGAAGGCAGACACAAAAGGCTACAAACTGTGTGATTCTGCTTATATGAGATTCTGGAAAACGAAAACCTGAAAGGTAAGAAATCTGAGTAGGAGATTGATCATAAAAGGGCATGAAGCAACCTTTGAGGGGCGGAAATGTTCTGAAAGTTCATTGTAGTGGTGATTGATCACATGACTCATCAAATTATAAACCAAAAAAGGGTGAGTTTTACTTCATGTAAACTATACCAATAAACATGAGTTTTAAAAAATTGGAAGACATGCTCATGTAGAAATGTGGAAATTTTAAAAAGGCATAATGAATATGAAATTTATATTTAATCTCACCAGCCAAATTATTTTGTGTTATCTTTTACATTTTATGTTATTAAATATTTTTCAAGTTTATTTTGCTACATCTTTTGAGGTATTTTTCCATACATATACTATAAGCTCATGCAACTGCTTTTTTTTTAACTTAACATAATAATTCTTCCATATCATTCTTTTTTTTCGTATTCTTTTTTGGCATCACTTTTCATGACAGCCTTATCATTTCATACTGTTTGATTCTTTGATGGTTTTGAGATTTTGCTCTTAAACAATATTAATGAACATCTTTTTTCTTTATTCTTCGCTCCATTATAAATGTGTCTCTTATGCCAAGAATCTGCTTTGATACCAGTGGGGTGGGGGGAAACACACAGCTAAACAGTGGTACGTGGTACCTAATTCCAGAATTCATCCATATAGTTAAAAAACTCAAATTTGTTTAAGTTTGATGTGTTTTTATTCAGTAGTTATCTTTCCTGATGTATTACATTCATTCCATTTGCTGTACATAAATTTTCGTCTGGCTAATATGAAAACTAAAGGACAGAAACTAACATTTCCTTTATGCAGTTAATCTTCATTGAATGTAATTTTTTTCTTATGCGGAGACTAAAATTCTTTTGACCAGTTACTTTCTAGATATATTAGGTCAATTATGACTTCTGTTTATGTTCAGTTGAATTCTTTTTTATAGTTCCACAGCCCAAAATACCTCAAAGCCCAACATTCAAATGCTTCCAGTCTTGAATTGTCTTTTATTCTACCGTGGAACATCTTCTAGTGTGCACATTTATGCATCCACCCACCCCTCTGCTTTGTGTCTTCAGAAAAACCATCCATTTTTCATTCCAGATTTGTTGAGCCATCATTTTGAATGATGTTGCAGCTGATGGTATTATTCCTTATGCAGTACCTTCACTTGTCAGCAAGACTTGCCCTTGACTTGCTTGTGGTGTTGATGGCCTGTGTATCAATATTCACTTTCACTTATGTATGACCCAGTTGCCCGGCAACATGCTAAGTGAGGCACTTTGAAGGAGCTGAGAAACAGGCTGTGGTCACAGGCAAAGGTCATTCCAAATGCCCTCTGTGGCTCCTAGGCAGCTATTTGGTGCACATCTTGCTACTGCCCTTTGATAGAGGGCATCTGTTGTGTCCACAGTATGTAGCTCCCAAGGTCATTGCTGTTAACCCTGTAACAAGAGGTTGGATATGTGCATTTCAGGAGAGGGGAATTACATAGGAAAGACAGAAAGAGAGCAGCTCAACACCTTTCACCATACTCACAGAAAAGAAATCAGAGGGTAGAGCAAAGGTGGGGCCCCGGGCTTCCAGGGACCTCAGGAGGACAGAGTGAGCAGCTGAGAACAGTAGCGGTAGGTGTCTCTGTCAGTAACTGAGTTCCCATTACATGCACAAGCGCAGATGATACAGTATTAAGGGTATTGTGAGAGCCAAGTACAAGTTTACCAAGCACTTCGGCTAGCTGATGCATCTGGAAGAAAATAGCTAATTGATTTGGGCAGTGTGGGGGATGCTTCCCAGTGCAGGAGCCTAGTTTTTATTTTGACTTTTAATAACTTCATCCTTTTTTGTGTGTTTGATTCTGAAAATTTATAAAATACAGAGACTAAAGAAGGAAACTTGAATCATCTGAAATCCCACCACTCAAAGATAACTATTACTTATATTTTCAAATATATTTTACGAATTCCAAATCATTACCTACACTTTGTAGTTTTGAATCTCTCTTCATATAACATTCTACAGTGAGATATTCTTTATGTTGCTAATCTTATCAAAAACATAATCTCAGTGGCAGCATGGTATTTCTATGCCTATGACATTTATTAAGCGACTCACCTACTGTTGGGCACTTAAGTTGTGATGTTTTCAATCATGTAAACAACACTGTTCTGTGTACCCAGGTAGCCCACTAATTATTTCCCGAATAAGTTCCAAGATGAAAGACTGGGGCTGTGCCTACGTATTGCCACGCTGGCCTGCAGAAAGGGGATTTCATGCACTGCACTAACAGTGAATACGAGTGCCTGTCCATTTCAACACGCCTTAGCCAACAGCCCCTATTACTTTTCAAGAAGGGGACAGCAGTCCGTTTGCTTTGTTTTGCACAGAAACAAAAAGTTGAAGCCACCATCTCAGTTCTACAAATTGTGAAAGTCTAGAGACTCTATCTAAGCCCTTAAATAAACTATTAGCTGCAGTGCTTTTCTGTATGTAAATTGAGTTCATTTGAACAGCATCTACAATGTTGAACCTTCACTCCAGAAAAAAGAGATTGTGATAAAATATTGAAAAAGCCTGCTTTAATTTAAAAATTAAGCTTCTATTTGTCATATTTTAAACTTCTAACAATGTTTTCTAGTTTTATAGGAGGTGTGTGGGGGGGTTTGTGGTATAATTTTAAAATAGCTCTCCATGACATGCTCTCCCTTGATTAATTTTTAATTTCTTCTTTTCCCTTGATACTTAAGCTTACATCTGTATATTCAGTAAGTTCTATTTTCAAATGATTGACTACTTTAATCATTTTAATTCACATTACTAATAGCATTGCAGAGTTAAACAAATCCTTGATTGAAACTATGTTAAATTACACCGTGTCACCTTCATTGTTATCAGAATTTTGTAATTAGGGAAATTTTCAGCAAGATGATCCTGTAAATCAGGTAAACCCCCAAATTATAAGGTTGATCCAGACCTTAGAAATCAGCAACTCCCATCCTTTTATTTGCTACTTGAGGACATGGATGCTGAGATTGGTGCAGGCACATTTCTGGGTCACTCTGCTGGTCAATGACCATTCTCTTTGCCCTGGGTTTTTACTCTATATCTGGGTCCTTACAGGCCACACTGACAGCTGAGACATTGAGTACTCTATTCTTAATCCCTAGCCTTTGTCTCTCCTAAGAAGTATCCTAATATATAAAGAGCCAGGGTCCGTAACCCAAAACAACCGAACGGATGACCGAACGCCAGGCTGCGTGCGCAGCAGGATCGGGTGGGCAGGGACTGGTGAGCAGGCTGAACTGCTGACCTCTCGGTCCCTCCTGGGTCACAGGCGCTGTGGCGACCCAGCACTGACTGCCGCCGCCAAGGCAGGTGCGATGCAATTGGTCAGGGGGCCCCGCCACAATTGCCCCGCAGAGGGAGGCCCAGACCACTGGCCGGGGGGCTCTGTGATTGCCCCATAGAGGGAGGCACAGGCTACCCAGCTGGTGGCGGTGGACAGGGCCTCCCTCTGCGGGCGATCAATCGTGGGGCTCCCAGACTGCAAGAGGGCGCAGGCTGGGCTGAAGGACCTCCCCTCAAGTGCATGAATTTCGTGCACCAGGCCTCTAGAACTATAAGAATAAAGTTCCTACTGGTTCCCTAATTATCCTTTCTAACTCCAACTTTGTTCAATTTGTGGTGTGAACTAACTACATAAATCAGTTGCCTTTCAGGAACCTAGAATAAGCTCAATCATTTTGTAATACCGAAGCTGCGTATGTCTCAGATTGCAAATTAACTAGACTTTGCCTTAAGCAGGATGGTCTCCAGGAAAAAACCGGTGGGAGGAATATGATTACACATGTAAAGTACACTTTGCTTGTTTGTTTTTCTTACCAGGTATCTGTATGCCCTTGGACAGAAGGTTTGGAAAAGATGGAAAAAACGTTACTTTGTTCTTGTTCAGGTTAGTAAATTTCTTCCTGTTACTTAATTGCTCTAAGAGAGTAGTTCTCAAACTTTTCTTTTTGTGGGTTATATCTACCAATATTCACTGTATTAAAAATTAAAATTGAAATAAAGTTTAAGTATTTATTTAAAAATAAAAGTAGTAAGTTCATTACTAGCTAACACAAATTACATTTTTATATACAACAGCTATTTTCCAAACCAAACTATTTAGTGAAACGAGTGGCCTTCATACTTTTGTACATCTCCTTAGTGACTGCTGTAATAGAAAGCAGCTGGATTTTCATATCAGTTCCTACATTCGATCTGTTGAATATTGGGTCAAATTTAGCCTCTGGAAAACTCACTGTACACTCATGAGAGAATAGCTGTGAAAAAGGCAGATGATGCCTGAATATTATAAAAATAGTTTTGACCTCATAGATCCCCTGAAAAGATTTGGAAGGTCTTCTGAATTATCAAATGATATCTTGAGTACCAGTGTATCATTCTGATGTTTTAAAGATAAACATTATACATAAAAGCACTCATTTTATACAGATGTGCCATATGTCACTTACATAGTTAGGTCTTTAAGTCACTTGACTGTTAGATTATTTGAGATAGGATTCTGAGTGTAGACAATTACTAGAATATATAGTTTGGTTGACACTTTGGTTTTGTGGATTTATGTTTTGTTCTTTTTGAATCATGCCTGTGTAATAAAGCTTCCATACAAACCCAAAGGAGGCGGTTCAGAGGGCTTCCAGGTTGATGAACACATGGGGAGAGCATGGAAGCACTGAGCCCTTTCCCCTACACAACTCTTCCATCTGAATATTTGGTGCAGGCACATTTCTGGGTCACTCTGCTGGTCAATGGCCCTTCCCTTCACCCTGGGTTTTAACTCTATATCTGGGTCCTTACAGGCCACACTGACAGCTGAGACATCCGGTTCTTATATGGATCACATTTGCTCATATAATATATTCATTAAGTTAAATTTACATTAAAGAATAACTTTCTAAGTAGTAGTCATTTTATTCTATGATAAACCTAAGCTATTTTATTTCCAATGGGAATACATTAAAAAAGTCATTTTTTAAATTCTTAACAGAAAACGGTCTGTAAAATCTCATTGATTCCTACTCACACATTAAGCAAGCTTAAATGATCTAACTCAGAATGATATGATGAAATGCCAAGGAAGGAAAATTGTCATTTGCTATCTTCTAGCAATATGTCCACCTATCAATTAGTAAATAATTTATGTGCCATGTGACATAGAAATTTCATGAAAAGTAAAAAAATGTAGTCAAAAGTAGTTTTATCTACATTGCAAACAGCCAGTCTTTTATTTTTAATGGCTAAAATGTAACCTTTTCTTATGTGATTAGAACCAGCATTTTTTTTAGTATGTGTTACCATTGTTTTTAATATGATTTATTTAGTTGTAAGTTTATGTAATTTTTTATTTATTTTTTAAATCTTTATTGTTGGAAGAATTACATATGTCCCCTTCCCCACCCCCCATTGACCCTTCAACTAATTTAATGAAAGGTGTATACACTGTGCACACACATTGACTGTCTTTTGATATGAAGCCCAAGCATTTGCTTTGAGTAAGGGCCCCGTTTGAAGTTCTTTGTGAGCTGTCTTCCAAAACCCCACCTGTAAGTCATGTTCTTTGGTTTACAGGTTTAATTTCTTTATATTGACACAAGAACTAAAATGCATTTACCAAGCAGTTTGAGTGCAGACCTTTCTGGACATTTTGATTTTATTCCCATCTATAGATGTCTTGTTCACATCTAATTTGATAAGTTTGTGTTGGTGACTTGTCTTTATCAAGTTTTTCTAAAGCATTTAACTGATTTTTCATAGAAATAGCAGCTTCTTTTTCATAGTCATATTTCATACATTTATTTAGAAACTTAACTCCATAATTTCAATACCTCATGTTACTGGCATAAACACACCCAGCTGACTCTTAATAAGCATAGAGTTTTACATTTTTTTAAAAAAATTTTCCTTTTTTATTTAAGACTTAATTTTTAAGAGCACCTGTAGTTTAAAAATTGAGAGAAAGGTACAGAGATTTCCCATATAACTCCTGCCCCCACACATACATAGTCTCTCCTATTATCAACATCACTTGTTGATAATTCATTGCCAAGGATGAACTGACATTGACACATCCATGATGGTCCTAAGTCTGTAGTTTACATTACGGTTTACTCTTGGTGTTGTGCATTATGTATATTTGGGTAAATATGAAATGACATGTATCCATCATTGTAATACCATGCAGAGTGTTTCCACTGCCCTACAAGTCTTCTGGGCTCCACCTGTGCATTCTTCTTCTTCCCCGGGCAACCACTGGTCTTTTTTATTGTCTCCATAATGTGCCTTTTCTAGAATGTCATATTGTTGGAGTCATACAGTACGTAGGCTTTTCAGGTTGAGTTCTTTCCCTCAGTAATATGCATCTAAGGTTTTTCCATGGCTTAAAAGCTCACTTTTTTAAAAGCATTGAATAGTATTTCATTGTCTGGATGAATCACAGTTTATCTATTCAACTATTGAAGGACATCTTGGTTGTTTCCAAGTTTTAGCAATTATGAACAAAGTTACTTTAAACATCCATGTGCAGATTTTGTGTGTGGATATAAGTTTTCAACTCCTTTGGGTAAATACCAAGGAGCCCAATTGCTGCATGTATTTATTGGAGATTGGTTAAGTGACAACAGGCAAAAGAGAGTTTCTAATATACTGATTGCTTTAATATGAAAATTAGGCTTTATTAGATCAGTCCTGGGCGGCGGCAGGGGTGGAGTTGTTTATACTCTTTGGGAAAATGTCTACCCATTTTTAAATTGGACTATTTGTCTTCCTTTTGTTAAGTTGTATAAGTTATTTATATATTTTGGAAATTAACCCTTAATCTGATGTATCATCGGCAAATATGCTCTCCCATACAACGGGACCCCTACATCCTTCACACGGACTCCAGGTTCTCTCTGCTTCCACTTTCCACCGTTATCCTTACAATCTTTTCATTGCCAGAATAATCTACTTGAACGTAACTCATATTTTGCCAGCTTGCTGCTTACATCCTTCCATGACTTCCCCTTACGCCTAGAATACCCCTGACCATCATCTAGAGAAGGTCCTGCATATTCCGGCCCCTGGTTTCCTCTTTGATGGATCCCTCCCTGTCACTGAGCAGCACCTTTAACTTGTAATATTCTGCGCCCAGGTAAATGCCAATAATTGGAGTTTAGCACCTCCAAGTCATCAAAAGATACCTCGGATAAATGTATAATATGGGTGTGTTTTTTAAATATGATTTCTATACAAATATGCCTTTGAATTAAGTCCCCTGTTGTGTTTTTGTTGTTGTTGTTGTTATTGAACCCAGTTGAGGCTTGGCTGGCTACCTGGCAGCTCATTCTGCCTTCACATTTTAGGGATCAGGTCACATGCCACTTCAAATGGGCATCTTCTGTCCTCCCAATCTAGATCACCCCTCAACTCACTCCTGTCACATTATATTTCTCAGAGCATTTATCTATAATCAAAATTATTTTTTATTTACATATTTATTTTTTATTATCTCTTTACCTTTTCTAGAATATATGCTTCATGAAACTAAGGACATTGTCTTTCTTATAAGCTACTATGAGTAGAAACTAAGTATTTGTTAAATAAATGAATATGTGTGAATAGCTCTGACCATTGTTTTTACAAGACTGCCTGTTCTCTTTCTAATTTATATACACTGATTGCTAAGTCTTTTTATGCCATTCAGTCAAGACAATAAATATATAGTCCCCTAAATCCATCATGCTCTTGAAGATACATTCATTTTCTTTGATTAAATTAAGCTCTGAGATTTAAAAAAAAAAATTCTACCAGCACCTTTGGCCTCTGCCAGGAGCGTTTCCAGCTAAGGATTTTTAAGCCTTAATCTTTACTGAAATTAGATGGTGGCAGTTGCTAAGCTGCCAGCTGTTAACATGATCCCTGCAGCAGGAATACAGCCTACTAACCTGAATGCTGTGGTCTCCAAAAACTCATAGTTAGCCCTTAACCATGTGGACATGGGCAGGTGTTGAACAGGTTGGCAATTGAAAACCAAATGGGAGGTTGCCCAGACCAGGTGCGGACACCTCGTGGGACCTGAGCACCTTCAGTTACGGTGACCTGTCATAGGTCGTGATGCCAGAACCTGATTTCACTCTGCTGCCCTAGGATTTAAGTCTGTTTAAACCCCTCAGTTCTCAACAAATCCATTATTTTTGGAGTTGTTAAGAGCGGATTGGGTTAAGGACATTGAGTGTATATCATTGCTCTGTCTTTTGCTGAAAGGATTTTTCATTGCAATGTAGGATATTATATGAGCTTTGTTCAGTTATATACTAGTAAGCTTAGAGGAGGAAACAAATACTAGATCAGAATAGGTCAGGCCACCTGTTACTCTTTCACTCCCTGGCATGTGGTGATGGGGCAGAGGGAGGACTGCAGACTGCCTCCAGCTAGGAGCACAGTGGGCAGGGTGACCCCCTGGTCCCTGTTGTTTGTCTCTCAGCAGCTTCATGTAACTGTTAGTGCCAACCGATGTTGACATTTCTTTCAGAGTGTAACTTCTCCACATTACCCTTCATCTGGATACTGCCTGCCAAGGGGTAGCTGCGAGGTATTAGCACTATTCAGATGGTTCCTGTGAATTGGCCCTGCAGGCTGGGTGTGGGCTTTGCCTCAGGAATGTGGGTTAGCCGTGACCTTGCAGAAGAGGAGGCCACAAGTGGAAGTCATTGGAGACACTAGAGCAGTGGTTCTCAACCTTCCTAATGCCGCGACCCTTTAATACATTTCCTCATGTTGTGGTGACCCCCAATTTCATTGTTACAAATTGAACATAATTAAAGCATAGTGATTAATCACAAAAACAATATGTAATTATTTATGTGTTTTCCGATGGTCTTAGGCGACCCCTGCGAAAGGGGCGTTCGACCC